GACATGTGACTGCTTGGAGGACCCCAGCTGATGTGCGGCCGACTCCTGGCGCCAGTGTCCCTTCATTTGTGCGGGCCCTTTTTGCTTGCTGCGTTGAAAAGTGCTTGTGAGATGCTACTTGTTGCATGGGAAGTTGCGAGGATAGAACATATTTATGTCGAGCACATCCTCTGGGTGTGGCTCATCGGCTCCAGGGCGCTTGTGGGGTTGCCTTGTGTTGTTGTCTGCGTAGGTCGGTAAATCCATCTCTGGGAGAAGCAGCTCCCTGCTCCTTTAAGCTACCCCAAGAAGATTGTTGTCAAGGCATTCTTCCTATTCATGGTAAGACTTGTTGTTGGAAAAATTTGGTAATCATCACACTTGTGATCGTGGTGTTTGGACCGTGGATGAGGGTGAGCAAGGATGGGACGAAGGCAAGCGCCATACTATCTGTTGTTTCATTTGTGTGCTCTTCTCCTAGTTCTTTGGATCACCGAGATCAAACAAGATCTCGCTATGACGATTCTTGATTAGTTGGTGTTGGGCTTTGCTCCCTCTTTGTTAAATCAAACACAATCTCCTATGGGCCTAGTCCGGTTTATATAGGAAACCAAACAAGTGTAGTTTCACCACTTGGGACAAAAGCGTTGGCTAGCCTTTGGGCAAGTTATTGGGTTCTCTAAAGCTAGTTTTTTTTGAAGCACAAGAATTATGAGGAGGCAGTGAGAGATTTCAATGCATCTCTGGGAGAAGCAGCTCCCCTCTCCTTGAAGCTACCCCAAAAAGATTGTTATTAAGGCATTCTTCCTATTCATGGTAAGACTTGTTGGAAAAATTTGGTAATCATCGCACTTGTGATCGTGGTTTTGGACCATGGATGAGGGTGAGCAAGGCTGGCAAGGTGCAATTGCCATACTTAAACTGTGATGACACTAAAACTAGATGATGGATGAGATGGCTCACTTGGTTAATTGATTATTATGTCTGAGGCTCTTAATTTCAACAACACTAATTGTATGTTGCAAGCTATATTTTATTTGTAATGCAACACTAATTTATTTGTTCAATGAATTTTTGTTACCTCTATGATATCTGTTGTTTCATTTGTGTGCTCTTCTCCCTAGTTGCTAGCCTCACTGAGATCAAACACGATCTCGCTATGATGATTCTTGAGTTAGTTGGTGTTGGGCTTGGCTCCTCTTTGTTGAATCAAACACAATCTTCTATGGGCCTGGTCTAGTTTGTATAGGAAACCAAACAAGTGTAGTTTCACCACTTGGGACAGGCAGTGGCTGGCCTAGGCTAGGCCTGCGCGCCGAGCCGGCTTTAGGATGGATATCAAACATGCACGCCCTAGAGTGCTCAAAGCAAGCCATCGCTCTGGATAATACATCTTACTGACATTTGATAAGTATGTTATTTGTATATAGCGGAGGTACCACATATAACCTTGTTGGTCACATGATGTTATGCAAAATATCAGAAGTACGAAACATTACCTTGCTCAACAAATAATGTTATGTATCTATACCCGAGGTCAGCCTCCAAGATTCCATCCATCCATGAAAAACAACGACCCTTGTGCGCCTCCGGGGCGGAAACTAGCATTTCTGAGCAAAAACCTTGCAAAAGTAAGCTCGTTTGATTCTAATTTCCAAGCACGGTTGGTTGGATGGATGCCGAGGAATGGCTAGGACTCAAATTGAGCATGACGGATATGGCTGATGAGGTCACAAAAATGGGTCATGAGAGAAGGACAAGATGACATCAGGACGAAAATGTCTCACGCGAGGCGAAAACGGCTCGTGACGGGCTAAGTACGGGCCATGCAAGGCCAAAACAGGCCCAAACCAGGTGATAGGAGGTGCAAACAGGTGATGAGAGGCCCCAAGGCATGGTTGGAAATGCCTAAGTCGGTCTAAGTCAATGGCACGAAGAAAATGAGCCAAAACCGATGAAAACGGGAAAAAACGGGTAATGCGACACGGAAACGAGACAAATCGGGCCACTAAACATGCATGGAAATGGCTAAGTCAGTCTAAGTGAAGGGCACGGTGAAAACAAGCCAAACACGGGGGGCCACTGATGGGACGGGACGGGACGGGCCGTGGGTCCCGAGCCCACCGAGGTGGCTCACGGGGCCCAAGGGACCCACCCTAGGTGGCCCCACATGAAAAGTCCAAGGTTCGGTCCATCCATGAAAAACAACGACTGTCGGGTGCCCTTAGGGCGAAACTAGCATTTCTATGCAAAAACCAGGCAAAACTGCATATCACAAGGATTTCCTGAGGTCCTCCAAAACGCCTGAAGGAACCATACAGAAAACTGCCAAAACTCCTAGGGGGCCTGGATGCCCCTCAGGTATATTAGGGGGAGAGGGTTCGGTTAGCAGAGACCTCAAGTAAAATGGTTTGAAACCACTAGTTTTTCAATGACCCGTTCATAAGGCTCCACCAGAATGTCGGTCACGGCCCCCGACCTCCGTGGTTGGCTGATGGCCAGCTGTGGCCAGCTTCGGCTGGCTGCAGCTTGCTGCTGGCTAGCCATGGCTAGCCAACGTGTGGCCTTTAGTGGCTGCACGCTATGTGACCGTACTAGGAGTTCAACGTGACATCCCTGGCCAGTGTGTTGTTTACTCATGGCCTCCCTGGCTGGTCAGCAGCCTGCGATGTCGTGCTTCAACGGGTTGCTGCGGGCAGCTAGCTGGGTAGGGTGGGTAGCATTTTGTTTGAACTATTTTGATGATGCGCAGCCTCCCTGGCTGGCAGCTTGTGGTGGCCTGGTTTGGCAGGCTGCTGCGGGTGGCTGGCTGGCTAGGGTGGCAAGCGTGTTGGTGGAACTATTTCGGTGACTCGCGGTCTCTCTCGCTGCATAGTAGTCAGCGGTGGCCTGCTTCTGCAGGCTTCTACGGGCACTCGACTGGCTTGGGAGGAGTACGTGTTGTTGGAACAGTTTCGGGTGCATGCTTTTGGCCCGTTGTTGGATAAGTTTTGGTTTCTATCATGCTCTGTGGACTTTCAGTTGTCGTCCTCGCAAGCAGACTCACCGTGCCTTGAGCGGAGGGATGCTTTGGATGGCTAAACCGTCGTGGATACGCTAGCACATGAGTTGTTTTAGACCTGTGACTGCTTGGAGGACCCCTGCTGATGTGCGGCCGAGTCCCAGTGCCAGTGTCCCTTCATTTGTGCGGGCACCTTTTGCTTGCTGTGTTGAAAAGTGCTTTGTGAGATGCTACTTGTTGCATGGGAAGTTGCGAGGACAGAACATATTTATGTCGAGCACATCCTCTGGGTGTGGCTCGTCGGCTCTAGGGTGCTTGTGGGGTTGCCTTGTGTTGTCGTCTGCCTTGGTCGGCAAATCCATCTCTGGAAGAAGCAGCTCCCTGCTCCTTTAAGCTACCCCAAGAAGATTGTTGTCAAGGCATTCTTCCTGTTCATGGTAAGACTTGTTGGAAAAAAATTTGGTAATCATCACACTTGTGATCGTGGTGTTTGGATTTGTGGATGAGGGTGAGCAAGACTAGGCAGCAAGCGCCATACTATCATTGTTTCATTTGTGTGCTCTTCTCCCTAGTTCTTTGGATCTTTGAGATCAAACAAGATCTACTTGCCGGACAGAGTTAGTTAGTTGGTGTTAGGCTTGGCTCCTATTTGTTAAATCAAACACAATCTCCTATGGGCCTAGTCCAGTTTGTATAGGAAACCAAACAAGTGTAGTTTCACCACTTGGGACACGTAGTGGCTAGCCTGGGCAAGATATTGGGTTCTCTAAAGCTAAATCCAGTTCTTCGTTGTTCAATTTTATTTTCGGTTGTCTATGGAGCTGATGTTTTCAATTAGAAGTCTAGATTCTAGAAAGCAAATATTGGTTTAGTTCAATTAGAATTCGAGATAGATGTTTATTACTTCTTGCATTCCTCAGGATAGAGCACTCAGGTAGATAAACTTGTCAGCATATGTATTTTTTTGGGGGAAAAGAACCATAATAATTCTAGGATTCCTATACGAGTACATGTGGAGTAGGAAATTACAAAGCTATTGGCAAGCCGAATATAGCATGACACTATGATTGAGCTAAATGTTTTAAGAGAAGAAAACTAAAAATGCAGAAACCAACAGCAGTCCACCAATATTGAAGAGATGTCTAGAATATACCACACGATATTTGACATTATTACTACTAAATTGCACCTTGTCTAAGAAGACTACTGGACACACATGACTATACATCCCTAGAGGCACTTGCTCTAGGCTGGTCATCTTTAGATGGCACTCCCATTGCTGTAGAAATGCAAAAGTTTTGAAAGTAACATCAGATGGCCAACGAATTAATCAAACTTTGCCAAACTGGACATTTGTTTTCAGATTTTGACCAACTAGTACTAATGGCTAACCAAAAAGATAAACAACAATAACTTATTATCAACATATTTAAAAGATATTAACCACACTTGATCAAAAAGAGAAGATGAACTCAGTTCCAAAAGAACACTTCCATAGGTATCATCATCGACATTTATACGTTGTCGAGTGAAGTTATAACCATTCATAGCTAACGAATGTACAAGGTTTCAGGAAGGCACAACACAGGAATTATTTCTGAACTATAGAATTTGGAGACACAATTTGTAATTTGCCAAACAATTTGGCTATCTCACACAGCATCAATTTTGCAAGATCTGGTAGACTGGTCTGTTACTGAATGTAATATTTGCCTCACATCTGAACTTAACTTATTCTGTGTTCATTATCAATTGATCTATTTATACATACTGTACATGTTAAATCAGTGCTTTATTGTTAAACTAATAAAACACCTTTAACTTATGTTGTCATGTTCTAAGGATTGAGCAAACTGGTAATTGATCGTTGCTATGGTCTGTTAGGCTATTTGAGGAGATGTCGTCGTAGTCGTCATCCTTGCACTCTGGCTCCTATAGTGCGGGTCCTGAACTTCCTCTGATCGCTTGCAAGAAGTGCAAAAGGGAGGTGAGAGAGCTAGTCTCCAAAAAATCAGAAACCATGTGGAGGAAGTTCTACCGGTGCAATAACGATAATGCGGTAACTTTCTCCATTTTTGCTCAATTCATAAGTTATATGGTTTAGGGAATTTAGAAGGCTCAAGGCTTTCTTTTCTACGGGATGGGACTCGATGTGATTTTTTCCGCTGGCAAGCGAGCTATGTTGTTTTGTTAATCAGGGAGGGATTTGTCACTAATAGCGACCAAGTCACTGATTTCATAATGATCGCACTTAATGATCATAGCAAAGCCTTAGAGTCTCTTACCACATCCATCAGAGACACGAAGCGAAAGCTGGATAACCTGGAGGAGTTCATGAAGCAAGAGCTAGTGGTCATGAAGCAAGAGCTAGATAAGCTGAAGGCAGCCATGGTTGAAAATGAGGAAAACAAGAAATCAATGGATTCTGCATTGGAACTAATGAAGGGTGATCTGCAGAAACTGGAAGGGTCAACTACAGTTAAACCTAGGATGTTGGGAATGTGTTCACTGGGTTTGCTGCTTTTGGTGATCTTGATTGGGTGGTTTCTAATGGGACTTAAGAATGGGGAGGAGAAATTCATGCGACTTGTGCTGAACCCTTAGGTGCATCTTCGTGCTGATGGGATATGTCAGAGTCAAAGGACCGAAGCCACAAGGGAACCTGTTGATGCTCGTATCTATTTTTTGTTGTTTTATGATCATGGCTGATTAGTTGGAAAACTGCATGATCTTCTTTTGTTTATGTTATTCACCTCTTTAGTTACGTTGCTGGGTCTGCTGTGTTGTTCTGTTAGTTGCCTATCTCTGAATCAGAGATGCTGGTTGCCCGGTTGGTTAGGGTTCTGGTCCTGAACTTTCTGTTTTGTCTTTCTAAACAATTTCATGCATTTTGGAATTTTCGTGTACAGTTTTTTCTATCTATCGTCTAATAATAAAACTAGAAGCAAAGCTTTTGTCGTCCTCTATGCATGGGCGTGATCAGAGCAAAACAGGCCTAAAAACAATCGGGTTGGCCGAGCCAGCCCAAACAACTTGGCCCAGTCGAAGCCCTGCCCAGCACTTTTATTGAGATCAACTCCTTACAAACATCCTATTGACTTCAGCACACCTGTCAAAAGGAGCACACCTTGCAAAAGCAGCACGTAGAGCAAAAGGAGCACCCCAGCAACATGCAGTTTTGATCTAGATGTTTCTTTTCTTCTATCTACATATATGAGCCATCATAAGTCACATCAGCTCATAGGTTCATGATAGGATTTAACACAAATAACAGTTACATAGTTGCACACGTTGTTAGCATAGAAGACCACAGTTCACAGAGCAAGATAGCTAATTCATCTAGTCAAAGATGAGCCTAAGATTGATTCCTCTAGGTTATCCCATTTTGATCAATTGAACAATTTCACCGGCGCGGTATGGCATTTTCCTCGTGCTTCATAAAGTACGGCAAAAGCCCTAACTTGTAAGCTCTAATGAATGCATCCTTCCACTGCAAATTGAAAAAAAAAACAGAGAGAAATTACGTTATACAGTATTTTCAGAACTCCATAGCAGGTTAAAAGGGAAGTTCTTTCAACAGACCTCATCATCCTAGGTGAACTTCTTGAAATTTTTTTCTTCAGAACTTTTGAATTTTTCAAGAAAAAACATGGAGGCAAAGACACTGGCATTGGGCTTTATAGAGGAAGGAGTATGTGCCAATGAGGTTTCAGGAAATTGTACTTCTTTGTATCCGCATTTTTTTAAGGCTTCGTTTAGTTTGTCTCCCAAAGACAAACAGAAACTTCTAATACTACGGAAGGAATCAATGTGGCAAAAAACATGGATCTGGTTCACATCTGTAAGCACGAAACATACAACAATCCATTCACCACAGAAGAAGACAGGGCAGTATATCTGTAAAAACACACATCTTGGTTTGGTTTTGGGGAATTAACGGTTCAAAAAAAAACAAACATGTATTGATGCACAACTTACAATTCTTAGAGATAACTTGGTGGACCTGGTTTGGCGATTTGGCCGAATGGGGAGTGCATGCTCAATCTTTTTCTCCAAATCTTGGTCGTCCTGCACTTAGGGGAAAACAATAAGTACAAGATATTTTGCTATAGTTCTTAAATTTGTTGGCAAAGCAATGTCCTTTTACCTTGTCTAGTGGTGGGACAAAGGTTCTGGTGCTACCAGTCAAATCTTTCTTTAGGCATTGAATTAATAATATCATAAGATCCCTGGCACCCTCACCTCCCTGGAGGGCTGTTCTAATTGAGAACCAGTCATTGAGATCTCTCCAAATCTCAATATAACATGTTCCTTACTTTTCGAATTGAAAACATGACACATATCAGTATAACAAGTTTTACAAGAATCTAATCATAAGGTTTCTAGAAACATATCATTCAATGACAAGCTTATAAACCTCTTCAAGTATTTCATCCTTAAGACACATGTGTGCTTTAGTAGACAAGTTAGGAAGTGGTCGTTGCCTCGCGCATAGGTGATTGAGAAAGCGGCTTACGCCTCTTCCTCCTATTAATATATATCGACTTTTGGCTAGTCCGCTCTTCTTTACCCGACATCATTCAACTTGTTGCCTCTAGCCTCAACATTTTCTCCAGGTGACCTTCTTATAGTCATCGAACATTCAGCGATGAGCTTCTGCAGCCCTCTCCATGCCTCGAGTTTGGGTGTCTTCTGCTTGTGATCATCACCCGAGTCTTTATATCTGAGCTTTCTTATTGCCTATGGTTCCCTCCATGAATGGAATCTGAGACAAAGGGTTGTCACTCATTCTGAACAACGCATCCTCTTCCCTTTCCTCGTGAAGAGCAGTGTTCAAAACAACGTTGTTATATGAGAAACTATTTTCCAAACACTCAACATCACCATCATTATATTCAGTTTTGACCGTATCTCTTTTGTTAAGACAGTGGCAGAGAAGGTCTATGGAAGTTTCTATCGACATTTTTCACCATATCCTACAATTTTAATTCATAATTAATTCTATAGGATTTGCAAGTAGGAATATAAGCTATTATAATTGTTGAATTACCTTATTAATTCCACATATACGCTCTGTGTCATCAAATCCTTTGATATACTGATAACACATGGAAATCGTAATCATAGCTGAAAAAATCAACCACAAAAGTGAGGAAGCGTGTGAAGCGACAAAGAATATTTTGGTAAAAATTTGAAGAATCGTGTTTTCTTGTGGCATTTGAACCGTAGTACTTGGTAACATAATCGAGATCCAATGATTGATTGTTTGCAACTGCTTCTTCAGTGTCGATATAATACTAGAAATCACTAACACTCGGGACTCGCTAGGCAATGAATCAAGAATATAAATTGTGCTCCTGATGCGTGAGACCACGATCAAGAACCAATGTTTCAAATGAACGATAGGGATAAATATCTGCGGGGGGAAATATCCCATTGTAAAACTCAGCAATATAAAAGAACTATGTAACAAAAAGAAAATAGAAGAAAATTAGTAACATACCAAATTAGCTTGCTTTGGATTCTGCGGTCCAAGCTCCATAGCTAACATACTTGTTCCAAGCTTTGGGTCTAACAATTCATACTAGAAGAAAATTGAAGAGATGTAAATCATGGATAAGGAACAAAAAACAAAACAATAAAAGTACTTACAACTGCCTTTTGAGATAAAATAACTTTGTCCTTCCACTCTTGATTCCACAATTCACATTGTAAGTACATTATGGATGAGTGCATATATCCGCGTGGCTTGAAGCATTCTACATAAACTGATTCTAGCACTTCATGGCCCAATATATTCAGTTTTATTGTGTCTCTAGTTCTTTCTACAACATGCTCTTGGTAGAGATGAAGAACATCCTTGAAGAGTTCAAGAGAGGTTAATAAAACTATCCATAGAGTTAGAAAACCGCAGAGACCACCTCTTCTTTACCTGTCTTCACCCGCACGCAGAGGAAACTGATCATGTTGAAGTTGATCTCCATCATGATCCATCTCATACTGGAGCTCTGTGCCCTCTATTATCTTTATCATACAAATATAGAGGAATCAAAACATTGCACAAACTCCCGCTGGTCTTAAAATGAAAAGGGGCATGCCAACTTACATAGGGTCGTCCATCCTCATCCATCAGATCCATCTCTTTCTCTGACTCTTGGGCGAGTATCATTTCTCTGTTTACATAGCAAGTATCTTCCAAACACTTAAACTGAAATGGGATAGGGATCAATCCCAATGCTTAAACTCAAATGTTACAAAGTTCATATTACAATTGATCTTACTTACATCAAATTTGTCATACTCCATGTCACCTAGCACTTGCTTAATCTTGGCATGGTTGTATTGACATATTCTTGGGATCTCAAGGGGATTACGATCAAGATTTTCAGCCTTCTTGATGAAGTCCAAAAAAAGAATCTGTGCATGATTCTACAGTTAGATAATTGGCTCTCTACACAAGACGCGGAGAGAAACTAAGATACTTACTAGGAGCAAATAAACACAACCCGTGGCAGTCCTAGTCTTAGGAGCACTCTTGGAAGCTTCCTTCCAATTATTAATACTTGTCTTCAGTTTTTCGTATACAACTATGCACCAGTCCACATCCTTCAACTTATCAAGATCTGTAACAGCATCTATAACTATGCTGGGTACAACACTGCTGGCTGATGAAACCAGTAACTTATCCAAAACCTCAATGCAAAATAATCTGGCAGCCATTTCATCGTCAAGTGCTTCTTTGATTTTTTTCATAGTTTCGATGCGTAAGCAAAGTTAACAGCATCTATAACTATGCTGGGTACAGCACTGCTGGCTGATGAAACCAGTAACTTATCCAAAACCTCAATGCAAAATAATCTGGCAGCCATTTCATCATCAAGTGCTTCTTTGATTTTTTCATCGTTTCGATGCGTAAGCACAGGCTGATGAAACCAGTAACTTATCCAAAACCTCAATGCAAAATAATATGGCAGCCATTTCATCGTCAAGTGCTTCTTTGATTTTTTTCATCGTTTCGATGCGTAAGCTAAGTTCGACTTACGCGCATCGAAGCGATGAAAAAATCAAAGAAGCACAACGATGAAAATATGCTATGATTATTTTGCATTGTGTTTTGGATAAGTTCTTCGATTTCATCGACCAGACGATGTTGTAACCAGCACAATTATCGATCTTTATTATAGATCTTGATAAGTTGAAGGATGTGTGGTGGTGCAGTTGTATATGAAGAAGCGAAGACAAGTATTAATAATTGGAAGGAAGCTTCCAAGAGTGCTCCTAAGACTAGGACTGTCACGGGTTGTGTTTATTTGCTCCTAGTAAGTATCTTAGTTTCTCTTCTCGTTTTGTGTAGAGAGCCAATTATCTAACTGTAGAATCATGCACAGATTCTTTTTTTGGACTTCATCAAGAAGGCTAAAAATCTTGATTGTAATCCCCTTGAGATCCCAAGAATATGTCAATACAGCCATGCCAAGATTAAGCAAGTGCTAGGTGACATGGAGTATGACAAATTCGATGTAAGTAAGATCAATTGTAATATGAACTTTGTAACATTTGAGTTTAAGCATTGGGATTGATCCGTCCCATTTTAGTTTAAGTGT